ATTTGTGGTATGCAAAAAAAAAAAAACATTTATGGTTGATTTTCAGTACTATTACCGATCATAAAATCCATAAAATAACATTATCGCTAAGAGAACAGTCAACAACTTTGACAGTGGCATCACTACCACCGGGTACAGTAACAATAACAACAATAACAACAACAACAACGACAACAACAAACAACAGAAATTGAAGAGATTATCTGAGCATTAAAAACCATCTAACTACTGTTGTTCTTTTTCTCCCTGTTACAATTTTTATTTTTGTTGACAAAAACAAATAAAAGTACAGATGAAAATCCGATTTTAGAATCTGAGCAACGAAATAAATTTTACTGCCCAAATTACTGTTCAAAAATCACTTTTCACAACAACCAAATAAACCTGTTATAAAGCCTAAAACTATTATTTAGGAATGCTCATTAATCGGAGAAGTAAAATAACCAATATATACGTATACTAAAAATAAAACAAAACAAAAAAGAATGAAAAATGACCTTAGATTTGCTTAAGTCAGTCTAATCGAATTTTCCCCTTTCCGGCAGTGCCATCACGTGGTGAATGCATCCGGCAATAACATAGCATTATAGACATACAGAAACATATTTTGAATATATAACTAAAAGTGCAGTAATTAAAAATGGCCTGCAAGAAACAACTAAACAATTTAGCACTAAAATTGTAGAGTGAAAAATTTAAATGGTAAAAATGAATGGTGCACATGATACAAATGTACATACTGTGAACACAAGTTTTGTCAACTGCAAACGAAAAGGACAGTTGATCATGTTTTAACTACTGCATGATAATGACGTTGATGACGAAGCAACATACAAAGCAAATGTTTGACCTTCTAATTACAATCATTTGTCTTTCAGAAATACCTGACTTAACTGAGATAGTGTTCAGCTAATTTCAACCGAATGTTCTACAAGTGTCCATTTAGCACTGAAAACAACTTAAAGGCCTCTCAGACAATGGATAATCAAACACTGACGTCCTCCAGACAGCAGCTGGCCAACAATAGACTGCTTTAACGACATTCAAAGCCTTCATTATCGCCATTCGCTAACATCATCATACAGCCCGTTAATGCACAAATTTAACATACGCAGTTTCATTTTAAAAAAAATAAACTAGGTGCTAGAAAATTATTGAAAAAAAAAAAAAAAGATCCACTGTCCTGTAAGAAGACTGACATTTCTCACAAGTTGATCAACGATTTCTGACCAACAAAACTTTCAAAGATCACATCAAGAATTCTTTTCAACACGTACGCAGACACGATGGTCTTTTCATTTTTTTTTTTCTTTTCCACTCCCCTAAATTTAGTGAGACTATAAACATAACCCCTGCACTTTTCCAAATCTGTGGACTTTTAAAAATGAAATAAGAGCAGAAGACACTGGCCATAAAAATGTTTGAACCAAAAACCAAACTTCTTCTAAGCCATTCGGCAAAAACTGCAGATTTTAGACATCGTCATCGACGACGTTAGCAATAACAACAGCCACAGCCAACAGCATCGTAGCGACATTTTAGACAACCGCAATCGGTATTCTGTTCAAGATTTCTTACCCTCTTTTCCTCCTCATTTCTTGAAAACAAAAAAAAAAAAAACTTTTGTTTAAATAAAAAGTGTAACCAATATAATCATTTTGAAGGTAGATTAGACAAGTGAAAATTTTTGGGTATAGAGAGATTACAGGAGGATCAAGCTTTCCTTTTGTTTAAAAAATCTCGACTTTCAAACAACCCGTCAAAAAATCTTTTTCACAGCAATACCAACTAGACTAGACTTCAGCATTATTTTATACTGTCCACCAATGACTGCTTATCAATACTGTAATAAAAAATTGTAAAAGTAATCGTTGTTTATTATTTTTATTTCTTTTCGCCGGCCAAATGTTGTAATATATCGATGTAAAAAGACCAAAAAAAAAAAAAATGACAACGGTAACGCTTATTCATCGATGACGGTTTAAAAGGCTTCTCGCTGTGCAACTAACATAAAGTTCATATCGCAAAAATATAACTCTCAAAAAAGCAAAAATACATTGAAAAATAGAAAGAATTAATCAGTGTAATAGAATATTTTGACTGTTCACGCCTTTAAATCATCATTTCCCCCTTTTTTCCTTCTTCTTTTCCTCATTTTTTTTTTACTTCAGCTGAATTTATTAAGCCAATTTACTTATTGAACTGAAAAAATTTTCACAATACCACCTTCAGTTGCTTAAAAAGCTTCCAAACAAGAAGAAAAAATAGAAAATAAAAGCCAATCGGCAGTGCAAACAAAATCTGTAATTGTTTAAAAAAAACATTTATATGTTCCCATTCAGTGATTCACCTCAATAAAAATATTGTTCAATTATCCTGAAGCAAAACCGAGTGGAAAGGCGAAAAAGAAAAAA